AGAAGTCTATATCTATATATATATATATATATATATATATATATATATATATATATATATATATTCCAAGTCACTTCACTCACCATTTCTATATTAATGTGCTGCATTAATTGATGCGCGCACACACACACACACACACACACAGAGAGAGCGAGAGAGAGAGAGAGATAATTCCCTTGAGCAGCAGCAGCAACAAGATGAGCTCATAATTATGATTATTTTACTTTTAATATTGTTTTTAAAATAAGACAGACATTCAGTTCTGACAAATTTAAAACAAGAAGACTTCCTACAGCCTATATTACTTGCAAGAAGAGTTTAAATAAATCAAGAAAAAAAACAGCAGAAAAGAAGACAACTAGCTGAGAGCAACCCAAAGGGCCACACAACAGAACTCTCAAACTGAGACCCTTCCAGACCATGCCTGTATGAAGTTAATCACAGACTAAAACCTCAGAGAAACAAAGGAGGATATCAAACATCAAGCAACGGATAAGGAAGAGTCACAGAAAGTAAGGAAGGAACTTTTGAAACAATCCGCAATATTTACTTTTTTTTTTTTTTTTTACAGGCAGTGTCAATGAGGGTGGTCATTTTTGTCTTGTTTTACAATCTATGCACTACTGATTTTGATCAGTGTCTTAATATTGTGGATATTTTGATCAATATTTGTATTTAGTTCACAGAGGAACTATCAAAAACAAACAAAGAGACAGTTATTTGTTTACATTCTAAAACCCCTGCAGCATGCTGGCCCCGCCCCTTTGTTTACCCTCAGAAGAGCTCTGAACATTCTAAACAGCTCCACAGACATAAACAAATGACAGATTAAGGATAACCCTGAAGCACTGTTTGCTGACTATGACCACAGCGCAATGACAAACCTGCTCTTCTACACTGAAAACAGCTCTTTATGGCATACAGTTTTCTGACAACACTTCACCTTCACCACAAAAAGAGGCATCTGCAAAGCCAGACAGATCCTGGTATTTGAAGATGCTGAAGGAAATGAGGAATCAAGAATTTTATCTCTGAACTTTATTTTATCTCTGAATTTTATCTATACCAAAGTGGCACTGCCATGATCCAATGCTCGGAGCCAGCCTTCCAAGCATTTATAGTGGACTTTATACAAATTAAAAAGCAGACACAGCTTAATACAAGTTTCATACAGGATCATAAAGATAGAAGTAAAAATGATTCTCCCGTAAAAGACATCCAAAAGAAGACAACAACTGTAACAGCCTTAATTCAATCCCCCATGTCATAAAAGGAAAGATAAATTTTCACTCCTGGAGATAGATATGGTGGAACAAAAAGAATTAATAATGTCCCATTTGAAAGACAACAGCGTCTTGGAGCATCTTACAAAGACATGATGACTTTAAAACAAGAGACTATTTATACAAGAGATTAATAAATTAGCACATCATGTGCTGATTAAAGTCATGATTAAAGATCATTTAAAGTCATTATTGTGTTAAATTAGAAAAGCACTGAATAGAGAAAGAAATATTTTGATTCAACATACAAAAACACAAATATACTGTATTATCAGAGCCAATCCTCCACATAACCAAAATACGTAAGCTGCGTAGGGCCCCCGAAACACCAGGGGGCCCCCTTGCTCTCAAATATGATTTAATTTTAGTTTAGTTTTTTTAATTTGGCCAGCGGTTATGAAAACATGAATGATCATTTATTTTAATGCGGTGCCCTGTGGCCCTTTCTGCGTAAAAATCAGTCAAATCTTGTAATGTGAATGTCGTACAGTCTTGCTCGAGACTAAAAAAACAAGTTGAAAGCGTACCGAGACACGGAAGAGACACAGTTTCTCAAGTGCTTTCCGCAAGTGCGATTCGAGACGGAGTGAAACACGGACAAATGCGTTTCATTCATTCGTTCATAACCACTCATACCCCTTTATTATTATTATAGTTTAAAATCAGTCAGAGCTGTGCATCTTTATATTTGCAAGTAAATCTCCATATTATGCAACGGCTACTTTCTATCCAACCCCCCCTACATTTAGTTTTGACATCCATCAGGGGGGATCAAGCCTTCTTTAGGGGGGTCAGACCCGCTCAAACCCCCCGTAATTCGCACCCTGCTTACAAGCACATCATAATCCACACATGACTTACGAGCAATGAAGGGCAACGTGGCTCCTCAGAGATGTGGCCGTCAGAGCCTTAGAACGCTTCCCAGAAGCTAAAAGAACTCTGTCCACATTACTGCCAAGGAATGATGTGCCTTTTCATGTGATCCATGCAAACAATGTAGAACTTTCCAGAACCTGTGCACTTATTCCAAATGTTCACCTTGCTTACCATAAAGACATATGGTCCAACAGCCACAAAACCCTGCAGCCACCGAACTTAATCAGATAAGACACCTACTCAACATCATCTACTCCAAACTTGTGAAATATATGGCACAAAGATCATCTAAAACACCTGTACAATACAATACAAAACCCGCCCAATTACTACTCAGAACTAGCCTGAAAATAGCCCAATTGCTTTCGAGGGGCCCCCCAGTAAAAATCTTGTTCGGGGGGTAAAATACAAATTTTTTTTGCCGGGTTCTCCTGGTACAATTCACATTCCAGGGCCTAAATATCACGTTATTGGGGTCGCTTCAACCTGCTGACATAAAAAACAACCGGTGGCAATCGCAACACTGGTCCGTAAACTACGTTTCATATAACTCCTCCCCGAACTTCCCGCTGCCCTGTATCTTGGTCTCTCATTGGCTGTAGATCATCGCCGATGTGTTTTTCAGTCAGAACTCATTGCACACAGCGTGATTGTGAATCGCCGACAGCTCCAGATATTTAGCATGCCAAATATTTCACGGGCGTCTTTGATAATTCACACTGCGTGATTGTCACTCGCGTGAACGAGCACCGATTTGCCCTCCGATTTCAGGCATTTGTCTGCGATTTTGCAAAACCTGTCGGCGAGTGAAAAATCGGGCTAAAATCGTGCAGTGTGAACTCGGCATAAATGCTAGAATTCACTAAAATAAATGTGGTCTTACCGCACTACTTCATCTCTCTGTCTGATTTGAAGCGGACAGAATGCTAGAGCTAATGAGCCATAACTGACGAAAATATTTTTACCCTTCCGGTCAAATATTGCGCTTCAAGCATCATTAACAGCTTTAGCTTGTCACTGCTGGCAAATGACCATGGTATAAGTGGGATAATGCATGGCATTAAAAATGATTTTAATGCACTCTGCAGAGGCAACCAGGGTTCTTGGCCTCCACGTCTTGCATTAAAATCGTTTAATGCACAGCTAGCCGTGCATTATCCCTTACATATATATGGCTGTAAAACGATTAATACATTTCCTAAGAAATATTTTCTTAGATTTTTGTGTGTGAATTTTGAATAAATGTTCTCTTTTCATTTCAGCAACTTTACTATAAATGATTTATGGAATATTATGAACTATTGGTACCACATGTTTACCGTGCATTGGGGGGTTTAATAGTTTATGAAAGGCCGTTGAAAATCTATATTTGTTATATTTGCTGCTTCTGTAATATCTGGACCTGTTACTTAGAGCCGCTGAAATACTGGTTTCTGGTTTTTTGAACAATAACATTTCCCTGAATATTTCCAGCACAAAGGCAGCGTTTCCTGAGAATAACCCATGAGACTTTGATTGCGAGTGCTTTGAAATGCTGCTAGATCATAGTAACATTTTAACCTGCATAAACTCACACTGAAGTGTTTGATTGGAAACACTCTGAATCAGCACTGTGATTACATGTAATTATATATATATAAAATACATAATTAATGCATGCATATGAGCATGTGTTTGTGCATACAGTACGTATGTTTTTGACGAAATGGTTTTTGACGAGGGCTGCTTCATTAACAGCCATTACAGAGGCTACAATCATTTGAAATCACGGATCGAGTATCCATTGAAAAGAAGAAATTTCACCTTTCTGCTAATGCAGTCAGAAGTAATGTGTATCTGTGCTGTTAATACCATTACAATTTCAATCTTTTTTACCATGCACATAAGCACATGCTCTCTCTGTGTTTGGAAAGTGGGTCAGGATTGCATTTGCAAATGATTGTAATTTTTTTTTTTGAGCGTGAGTGTCTGAAGGTGGATCTTTAAGTGTTGTGTAATAAGGCATTTTTATGCACCACTCACTCATTTAATTTTCTCTCTTGGCAGGTGTTGTCTAGTTTGCATCCTGAGTGTGAGTATATCTTTCAGTTGGCAAGAGATGAACAGCGGTGTCTCAGAGAGATCACAGATCTTGGGAACCTCAGCAGCTCCTCAGGTAGAAATAAACACGCTCCTGATTAGATGTTGAAGGGGTTTTTACCCTTAGGATGTGAGAAGCATGCTAAAGAGCGCTGAGTTTCAATTGAGAGCAAATGGAGACTTTTGTTTAGGCATCCTGCTTCTCAGATTTTTCTCCTCAGAAACTGTGTTCTGCAATCAGAAGTCAGAGATCTCGATATAAACTCAAACATTTCTCAGATTTATCCAGGACTATTATATGACTATTCAAAAGTTTGGGGTCGGTAAGATTTTTTTATGTTTTTAAATGTGCTCTGCATTTATTTGATCAAAAATGTACTAAAATATTATTACATTTTAAATTAACTTTTCTATTTGAATATATTTTAAAATGCAATTTATTTCTGTGAATTTTCAGCATCATTACTCCAGTCTTCAGTATCACATGATCTTCAGAAATCATTCTAATATGCTGATTTGCTGCTCAAGAAACATTTCTGATTATTATCAATGTTGAAAACAGTTGTGCTGATGAATGTTTTTGTGCAAACCATGATACATTTTTTTCAGGATTCTTTGATGAAGAGAAAGTTCAAAAGAACAGCATTTATTTGAACATTATAAATGTTACAATACGTTAAATTCTTTCAAAATACTTTATTAAATCTTGCAAAAACTGACCCCAAACTGGAAATTCTGCAACTGTAAAAGAATTTACTATATTTTTTATCAGTAACATCATCAGTAATTTCTCCTGTCAAGCGTTGTAACTTTTTGACTTTTAAACTCTACATTTTTTTATTTTAAATGACACGAAAACAGGTCACAAACCCATGAGATGTCATTTAAAATAAATCACATCTGCATAGCATTTAACACTGCCATAAGCTGTCAGTGGTGACATTCAGAGACAGAGTTTAGTACAAGATCAGACTCATTGTAATGCAGCGCCTTACGTTTGTGTTTCCCAGTGGATCCCAGAAGTGAAGTCGTGTTTGGCAGCGGCTTTGCAGGGGATTCGCATGCACAGATGTACTTGTGCCAATCCAATGTGGAAAACTGGACGTTTATATAGCAAATTCTAGCTGTTACATGCCACAGATAGCCTGTCAGATGGTTCTTGAGTGCATAGGTATTTACTGTATAAACACATGCTCTTCATGTGTGTGTGTGTGTGTGTGTGTTGTGAAGATTGTCTGCCAGTATGGGATTCAGTAGTGTGTTGGCCCAGGGCTGCAGTGGGTGAGACGATCCACTTGCCCTGTCCTGCTGTTTTCTCTGTCATCAAGAACAACACGGGTACGACACACAACCACACCGTCAACATCAGACTTGTGCATGATTTGAAACTGAATTTAAAAGTTCAGTACATGAATGTGAATTAGGTAAGTGGCAAACAGGATGCATAATTGTAATCTGAATTTAAATTGAAATTCATGTATAAATAGGATTGAAATAAAAAGAAATTGACGGACCAGGATTATATGATAAATGCTTTTAATATAAAGTATTCATGCACATTATTATTTTATTAATAACCAACATTTGAGATATAATAATTCATATAACATTGTTTGGTAAATAAAAAAAAATTTCATTTCATTTTGTGTGTGTGTGTGTGTGTGTGTGTGTGTGTGTGTATCTTGTATAGATTTCATTATGAATAAATTAAAATATTGGATTGTATTAATAACAATCTAAGAGCAAAGAAGTTGATGTACCAATATTATTTGATTCATTAAAATGATTTTTTTTTAACATGGAGTATCCATATATAATGTTATTATATTAATAACCAACATTTCAGATAACAATTCACACAACAATATTTGTTCAATTAAAATATTTAATTCTGAATTATAACATTGGATTATATTAATAACCAATTTAAGAATTTTTTTCAATGTGAATTATCCATGCACATTATTATATAGAATTACATTAAAACATTGAATTGTAACACTTGAGATGTAACAATTCATATAACCGTATTATTTGATAAATAAAAATATTAAATTTTTCATTATGCCTTATCCATGCTTGTTTTTAATTATACAGCATTCAATTAAAACATTGCATTTTTTTAATAAACAACATTTGGGATGCTACAGTATCTAGAGAAATTAGTATCAATTTCCCCATATTTAATTGTAGTTAATAAACTAACTTTAATTTAACGGACCATTTTTATTAGTTGAAAATGATTAAAAAGAATGTTGTGGTCATTATGTGATGCTGTTTGGCAAAATTAAAACATATTCGACTGGCGGTGAAAGCACTTAATGAAATACCCATAACAGAAACGTAAATTGGCTACATTGGTTATATAAAAATACCTTGAAATGTCTGGAACAGAATATGCTCCATACATGCATTTCCACATTAACAGCTTCTGTGAGCAAACCAGTTGGTTTTAGTCTGTGGGCTTTAACAATACACATTTACCTTGAGAATATGAATAGAAACCTCAAATGGTAAAATGCACAGCCTCGATTTCAAGGCTTTTTAAGTTTGAGCAAAAAAGGCTTTCATATTTGCAGTACACTCTTAAAAATAAAGGTGCTTCACGATGCCATAGAAGAACCTTTTTGTCTAAATGGTTCCATAAAGAACCTTTAACATCTGAGGAACCTTTCTGTTTCACAAAAGGTTCTTTGTGGCGAAAGAAGGTTCTTCAGATTATAAAAAGGTAAGAAAGAGATGGTTCTTTAAAGAACCTTTGACTGAATGGTTCTTTGTGGAACCAAAAATGGTTCTTCTATGGCATCGCTTGAAGAACCTTTTGAAGCACCTTTATTTTTAAGAGTGTACCTTTTCAAAGTCTCCACAGATCCAGCAGTATAACAAACTAAACCTGGTCTAAGCCCGACCAACCAACACTGCATTCAAATCCTTACATCCTTGTATCGCTGTCTTGTGCAGAAAAGGAAACAGACTTCATTTCACATTTAGCTAATTTTATGCATTGCATCTCATTCTCTAGAGAAAAAGTCAATACAAACCACATGAAATGCCAACTTGCATTTATGCATTTATTTTGAAGGTGCCGGTGGGTGACTGTATTAGCATATTTAAACAATTTTTTGAAAAGCTTGCAGAGAATGCCTTGCATTATTGTCATTGACCTTATGACCTTTAATGGATTACTCTAGGGATAGTGAGTCGTAACTGCACGGCCGGCGGCTGGTCACATCCGTTCCCTGCTTACCATGAGGCCTGCAGTGTTGAGGACGAGATCCCAGAGGTCAGACATACTCTGAAATCCATACACATTTGCTTAAATGTCTTGCTTTTCAGGTTGTTCTTCCTAGAAAAAGACCCCAGTAATCTGCGCCTCCTCTAGTTTCAGAAGAATGCCTCAGATCTGTAAAGACACAGTCAAGAATCTCAATATGAACTCAAACCAACTTTGGGTTTTTTAATTTTATGTTGAAATAAAATACATTTAGTTAATTTATAAATAGATTAATACATTAATTGTAATTACTAAATTAATAAATATTTCATAATAGTAATAATAATGACTAACTAATTTTACTGACTGAATTTAAATCTAGTAACATTTAACTCAATATTACTTATACTATACTTTATATTTAATGCAATCATAATATTATTTTATTTTACTTTTCACTGAAGATTAAACTGTCAAATTTGACTAGATTTGAATTTGAATGTTATTTTTTACTTAATAAACAGGTTATAGGCTTTCACAATTATGTCTGTCTACCATAATTCTCACTTACAGTTTATAGTTGGCTTATAGTTTTTAAGTTTATGATGAAATAAGTGCATGTAGATAATATAGAAATACATTTTATTAAGTTAATATAAAAAATTTTTTTATTTAATTGACTTAATTTTAATCTAGTAACATTTATTCAGTTACTTTTTATATTTAATGTTTTAAAAATTAATTTTTTTTTAGTCGTGTCAATTCAAGTCTCCTTTATTTATACAGCGCTTTCTACAATACAGATTGTTGCAAAGCAACTTTACAGTTATGAACAAGAAAATAGTGTTTCGGTGATGCTCTAAAAAGGCAAGAGTAAACTTTTACTTACATTTAAAAATATATATATATATATTAAAAAATTATTTTAAGTTTAATTTAAAAAAATCAGTATAAACAGGCTTTAGGCTTTTATAATTCCGTCTGTCTGATTCAAATTATTATTCATTCATTCATCATTGGATCAAATAATGATGCATCTTTTGGTTGATTGATGTGCACATTCATTGATTTACCCCTTTATCCAGAAAATTATGTTTATTGTTGTAGTGAATTTAGCTCATGGGGAAATATGAATAATTAACCATAACTAATTATGATTAATTATTAATATTTTAGATCCACTGTAGATATTTAGCTGACCACTGGGCCTTTAAGGTCGGAGAAGATCTCCGCCTTTCAAGATGGGCTTGTCCAATGAGCACAATGGAATTCCCGAGCGGGAGGTGGCAATTGCTGGAGGGTTTACGACCCTTTGTTCTCGAAGCATGGTAATTTGCAAATGGACTTAAATCGAAATTATTAACGATTCTCAGGGCCCTAATATATATTGCCTATGTACCACCATATAATATCCACGCTTGTTTCGATCATAAGAAGGCGAATTCATAGATACTAGACATGAAATAGTTACTTATATGAATGTGTGGTTTATCGTAAGCACGGATAAAAATAGTCTATAATACAACAGATTAAATACAACACAGCAATAATATACACACTGGCCTGAAGAAAATGGGTGTTCATTCAAAGAAGGTTTTCCTATGAATTAATTAGTAGAAAAGTCCATTTCTCCTGTGCATTTGTGTCCCTTTGTTTCTGGAGAAAGCAGAATGAGAGCCGGCTCGCATTCCACAAGGTTGTAAATGTATCGGGTTACCATGAAACCAGGGTCTTGTTCGGCGTCCTGGGGTGTTACAAAGTATTTGTGAAATCTAGCTAACAAAATATATATTGTGTGTTGGAGTGTTCCAGACGCTACATTGTATTCAAACAGACTCTGTGTCCTGAACATGGTCATTCAGATGTAATTGATTTCTGCTTGTTTGTCCCTCAGGAGTCGTATTTTGCCACTGTGAAACTGATCTACACTGTTGGTTATGGAGCATCACTGCTCTCGCTCTCTGTTGCCGTGGCAATACTGCTGCTCTTCAGGTACTGTGCCTTTACAATGCGTTCTTATTGATGAACAAAAAAAAAATCCAAACCTAAACCTAAACACAGAATCCACTCACATAACCGGAAAGTTATTGTAAAAAAAAAAAGGACTGCTTTAATATATTTAGTCTATTTTGTGAGTAATTTTAGCATATCTAGCTACTTTTTTTTTTTTTTTACATAAACCTTACACTGGCTATACATCTTTAAATAATTTTCAAACATTGTTAAAAAACTGTGTTCTTTAAAATGAAAGAACTGACCTGTTGTTTATGTTCTGTAGGCGATTACACTGTGCTCGAAACTACATCCACATGCAGCTGTTTTTCACCTTCATCCTGAAATCGGTGGCTGTGTTTATCAAAGATGCCACGCTGTTCTCCAGTGACGACACAGATCACTGCACACTCTCTACAGTGAGTCCATCAACACCACAGTCCTGACAGCCTTTCCTGTGAAAAGTACTGTACAAACTTGACTTCACACTCTCCACTTGTGACTCAAATGACTCAACGGATGTGTGACAGGTTTTTTTTTTTAAGTCGTCATAACTGTATTTCTGTCAGGACAGTCTAATATGCTGATTTGCTGCTTAAGAAACATTTCTGATTATTATCAATGTTGAAAACAGTTGTGCTGCTTCATATTTTTGTGGAAACCATGATACATTTTTTTCAGGATTCTTTTATTTATAGCAAGCAAAAGAACAGCTTTTATTGGAAATATAAATCTTCTGTAACAATATGTCTTTACTGTCAGTTTACTGTAAATTTTGATTAATGCGTGTTTGCTGAATAAAATTTTTAATTGATTGATTAAAAAAAAATCTTACTGAGCTAAAACTTTTGAACAGAAGTGTATTTATTTTAATTATTGGAGCTTAACTTAAGGTCTGAAAAAGCACCTTTTTATTGAAAAAAAAATAAAAAAGTAATTAAAAATGAATTAAGAGTTTATTAGACTCTATTTTGTGCCCTGTTTATGGAAAGTTCCTTGATAACTTCTAGCTGCATTTATTTTTGACCTTCCTTTATTTTCCGCTGAGTTTCTGCTTTCTCCATCTGTTTATCTCTTCCTCTCTTGTTTTTTTGCCGTCATGCCCTGTTTATCATTCTCAGCATCTCTCTCTATCTCTTCCTCTCTCTCTCTCCGCAGGCGGCCTGTAAGGCGTCAGTGGTACTTTGTCATTATTGCGTCATGACTAATTTCTTCTGGTTGCTGGTTGAAGCCGTGTATCTGAACTTTCTGCTGGTCTCGGCCTTCCCGCGCAGCCGCCGCTGTCTCTGGAGTTTCGCTCTGCTGGGCTGGGGTGAGACGCTCATATCTGTCCCTACAGCCATCTGGCCCTGTCCTCTCTCACACTCTTTCCTCTGGCCATCACAAATGAGGTTCATCTACTAGTGTAGACTATGTGAGTTATTAAAGGAACAAAAAGGGAATAATGAAATTTAGTTTGTTGTCCTGATATTATTTTTGTAACTGTTCACACCAAGAATGATAGCTATAAAGATAACTATAACGATGACTATATTACGGTCCACACCAACGTACGATAATATTGTGTTTATTATAAGTGCGTTGCAGTTTTGTCGTCTGTCACTTTAAATGCTCAAGCTCTTTTAAAGGGGTCCTATTATGCTTTTTCACTTTTTGAACTTTAGTTAGTCTGTAATGTTGCTGTTTGAGCATAAAAAAAGATCTGAAATGTTACAAAGCTCAAAGTCCACTTCAAAAGGAACAGAATTATTATTATTATTGAACAGAAATCACTTTTCAAAAACTACAACGAACGACTCGTTTGAACTACAACGCATATTTTCCGGGATTTGTGATATCACAAATATCGACGAATGGGATGAGACCTGGTTGAGCTGTACTAGAGAAAGCAACGAGTGTTATCACTATGTCAGAGACATGCTAGCTTTCCCAAGGCAGACGAACTTAGAGTGGTTACAATCATCCCGGTTTAAATCACGATCAGATTGATTTGATATTGAGTAAGGGGCGTGACATTTCCCGACCAGGCTCAGAGTGCTGCCAATCACAACACACACTGGTCCAGCTAACCAATCACAGCACATTTCGTATTTCAGAAGGCGGGCCTTCATTTGACACAGGAACTGGGGAGAGAGGTGTTGTAATAATGTAAAATATGTGAAAAATAATGTTTTTCGAACAACCTAGTATGAGAGCCTGTTCTAGTACACCCCCAAAACAAAAT